TCTCTTATATTAATTTGTGTAACTTGATTATCTAACTTAATCTTTCTAGAATCGTCTGTTGAAACATGTGTTTTGTTGTTTGTTTTAGTCTTTCTAGAATAGTCTGTTGCTATACATATTTATTGTCTTTTTTTGTTTACACATTTTGTTTGTTTGTTTTGTTTGTTTTTGTATTACTATTAGTGATCTGTATTCAAGATCAAGTAGTTCGCCTACTTTTTGTCAAAAATTTCTTCAAAATTTTCGTTTTCCTTGAATATTTTTCTTGTTGCAAGTTCGATCTTGTTTGTTTTTAAGCTAGATATTTGTTGTTTTTGTTGCTCTTCCTTTTTTCTTAAGACCTTGTTGGGTGTTTTCTATAGCCTTTGTTGGGTTATAGTTGCTTTTGTTTTCTGTTTGTTTGTGTACAAGTGATCAGCGAGAAGAGTTGTTTTTTAATTGTTTATTGTATTTTTATAATAAAATTATTTTTTTTTTTTTGATATTTTTGATTTATACTCAAGCAAATTTAGTTATTTTTAATTTATTGTTTAGTATTTTTGTTTTAGTTTAAACTTTATATCTATTGTTCTTGTTTAAATATATTTTTTAACTATCTTATATATTAAGTTAAGTAATATTTTTGTTTAATTTAACTAGCAATAATATATTTATTATTAATATATTTGCAATTTAGTTAAGCTAAACAAGTATATTATAATATATAAAAAATTATTTAACAAAGAGTATACAATTAAACAGTATCAACTATAGTTTAGTTTTTATATTAGTTGAGTTTTATATAAATACTATAATTATATAGAGTATATTCTAGTTTTAAGTACTAGTTTATTAAATAGATTCTTTAGTTTTATATTTGTGCTTTAGACTTTTATTATTAGTTTATTTATTTTCTTATTTGTTTGTTTTGAAATATCTTATATTTTTTTTACTTTATTTTGCTTTTTGTAATTTTTTGCTAAAAATATTTCTTTAGATTGGTAATATTTTATATAGTGAAATAATTCTAACAAGTTCAATAGCCATCTATTATAAACTCTTGTGATTTAAATTCTTAATAAGCTAAAGATCTTACTGTATAATTACTAGTGTAGAACTTAGTAATAAGCATAATTATTTAAATAGACAATCAAAAATTATATATATAACTAGTATCTACTCTCTAATATGTATACTGTATAAACTATTCTTAGAGGTAGTTTATTATACAGTAATTAATTGAAGATTCTCCAGTGAACTGAAGAATGTTCATAGTAAAACATGACGCGGTTCTATATGTAAATTACTATAGGCACAAAAGTAAAAATTTTCTAGTGATTGTCTAAGGAAAACTTTTTTTGTACTAAGTTAATCATTTTTGAGTCTCTAAGTAAAGTTGTAGAGCTCATCAAGACGAATCTAATAGTAGTTAGATCATCCAAATCGGCCAAGTGGATGCCAAGATATCTTTAAAAAACATTTTGCTACTATATAAAAATTCTTTGGATTGTTCTTAAAGAATTTTATATAGTTAGCAAAACGTTTTTCAAAGATATCTTGGCATCCGCTAGGCTGATTTGAATGATCTAACTACTATTAGATTCGTCTCGATGAGCTCTACAACTTTACTTAGAGACTCAAAGATGGTTAACTTAGTACAAAAAAAAGTTTTCCTTGGACAATCACTAAAAAATTTTTACTTTTGTGTCTATAGTAATTTATATATAGAACCGTGTCACGTTTCACTATGAACATTCTTTAGTTCACTGGAGAATCGTCAATTAAGTTAATCTAATAATTGAATAAAAACAAGCAGTCAAAAAGCCACTTTAATACAAAAAAAATAAAAATAAATTTGTAAACACAATTCTACAACAATAATATTAATTCCTAGTTAGCCAGATTTTAGTGATAATATCAAAAGCTAAGATAATTTGATCAGGCAGTTAATAATAGCTTGGCTATTACTAATGAATACAGGTAAATATTGAAGATAAAGAATCTTTTAAATACACCAAACTAAAAACTTATAAAAAATGATATTCTGATAAAACTAATTTGGAAAATTGTCATAATAAAACTATAAGACATAAAAAAAATATAGGTAATAAAAGAATTCAAATAACTAGTTAGTTACACAAAAATCCTAGGCACATGTGAACAGGACACTGTTGGGTTAGACAAGATCTAAATTATATATAAAGTAGTCTAAATCTTGTAATCTTCTAATATATAATTCTGTGAATTAAACTGTAAATAGCATATTGTATTAATAAAGACATGAGGCACAACCTTACCTTAAAAAAAAAAAAATTAAAATAATAATAATAATTTTATTTATTCAAAATTTAGTTATATATACAAAAATATAGAGTTTTTGTATTTAATTAATCTTTTTAGTAATTTAATTTTGAATTTAATTAGGTAAATAATAAATTCACTTGAATAAATGTAGTAAATTATAAAAAAACTTTTATTTGAATTTTTGTCAACCCACTACTGAATGTATACATCAGCCCCAGGGAGCCCATGGAGCTACGAATGGAGGCAATGGAGCTCTGAATGGAACCGATGAAGCTCTGAATAGAGCCAATAGATACTAGTTTTTTGAGCTCCATTGGCTCTACTGCAAACTCTGAATCAGCCCATATCGTTTTAAAACAAGATACTAATTAATTTGTTTAAGGGATTCCATCCAGTAACATAAACATTATACTTTAAGCTGCGTTGAATAAAATTGCCAATACATAACAATTCTTTTTTTCAAATCTATATATTTCTATAATGGAATTTATTAAAAATCAGTAACGACTATAAACGCTACAAGCATACAAATTTCTGTCATTTCGTTTATAAGCCATTCCCATAAATCCTGGAAATCGACCGAATCGACAAGTTGCACTGTAAACTAAATCGATACAGTCAAATAATTATCAGCAAATTTCCAGAATTTATGAAAATGTCGGGTCGGTAACATAGATTAAACCTTTTGGTCCAAATGCAAGGTTTCAAAAAGAGAATGATTATTTTGAAAATTGTTTTTCGCATTATAACTAGGTGTAACACCATCAGGCGTTTAAACAAACGTATGCATATATCAATAGCCGTTTGGTTTTTTAGGTTCTGAACCGTTTGGTTTTTTTCACTACAAAAAAATAGAATGAGGTAATTCTGCGTAATCATTTCTCCTTTTTTGAAATTCATTGTAAGAACGCGACACTTTTCGCCACACCAGAACTTGTGAATAAAAAGAATAAAATATAATACGCCAGTAAATTTTCCAATTATTTATATTATTAAGGCATTGTCGTTATACTTGCCAAATTTAATAGTTGAAGTTTTAAATAAGGTTATAAAATAGTTGCACTAAAAATTGTGCATATACATGTAATTAATTACCAATTTCAGTTCTATATGAGTCTTTAGAACAAGCATCTAGGATATTATTTACTATATCCATTGGTCCATCATCGACTACAACAATATCGAACGTTTCTAAATAGATATTTATTAAATCTTCAACCATATGATTTAAGAATCCTATAGTCAAACAAGTCTCGTGTTGAATTCCGTCGGACATATGTATGTCACCAATTGAATCGCCCAGTAAAATGACGTTCCCGCGATTTTCGATAATGGTGTGATAAGGACCTTCCTTAATCATGATCTCACTTTTG